TACCGAACTTACGAAGAGTTTCGTTGTAGAATTGCCAAACCCTGTGGAACCTACTGAACTTAAAAAGGTTCTGTGTCAAAACCACGAAACGATTTACATTTCACTGAACTTAAAATCATTCGGTGCAAAGATGCCGAACTTTTAAGGTTGCGTGGAACACCTTTATTTTTTAGAGTGTAGGTTTCCAACGAAGCTTTCTGAGCTGTTTTAGGTTGCAGATGACCCACCATGGCTCATGGCTAGTGTTCACAAGTATCATATATTATGTTTAAGTCGATAATTTTTCAAGATGGCGAAACTTTGGTATTTTTTGGAATTTTCGAAATAATTGAATATGTCTGAAACGAAAGACTTGTGCTTTTCGCCAATGTTCATCGAAATGCTGCCTTTTAAAAAATGCCCCGTAGACAAAAAGATATGGAATGGTCGATTGATCTCCTTAGGTTATGCCTTAAAAAAATTAGCTCTTAATCAATTAATACCTGTGATTTGGAGAGCAGATAATCAAACATGTTGTGACGAAGAGCAAATACCGCCCATAAAACTAAGTCTCTAATAAAACTACCGGCTATAGCTTTCTAAAACAAACAGAATCCCAAATTCCAAGAATCTTTAGTTTAGCTTAGCAAACAACTATTTCTATCCTTACTTCATAGGCGGCGGAGCCTGTAGGCTCGTTAGGCTTGAGCCTTACCTGAATTGAAATTTGTTCGCTGTCGAAGTTTTGAGGAGTAACCAATAACCTTATACTGAGCCTTACCTGATTTGAAAACGTTCCGCCGCCCCTGGCTTACTTTATCTTTACCAGGGAAATACATGTCATAGTAATTCGATTTTAAGGGCTTCTTTATCTTGCCACATGAGATACGTTTAGTTACACCTCTCCAAAATAGGTTGAAAATATAGAGTTTGTCGCATTTGTTTTTCACGAACGAAAAGTGTTACAATACATACGTTCTTAAGATAAAATTCATCCATATCGTCGAAATCAATTACTTCCAAAATTTGCACCATATTCAACAAATAAATCAGCACAACGAACAGAATCGAAACGTATTGCGTCATATAATGCTATATCTAATACATCATCCTAAAAGAATTAACCAGAACTCTGGTTTCATTTATTGCTATAATAGTAATATCATAATGGTGCACAATGCAAGGGAAAACAATGAATGTAGGGTTTTAGGAATTTGATGAGATTTCCAAATTGACAAATCTGCTGTCACTCTTAGTCAATTACCATAAGTATAGTACTTAGTGCGAGTTCCTCTTTTACTGGGTAATGTGCTAAAAGTCTGGTGCTCGTAGTTATGGCTGATTATCATCGGTACTGTCCGGTAGGAAAATCACATTCTAAAAAAAAGCGTATATTCAAAAACCGAAAGTTGCACGAACTTTTCGAGCTGAGCTTGGAAACTGGAGAAAGACTGATTTCGTTTAATTTATCACTGACCTTTTGTTAGTTACTGAATTTCGCTCAAATCAGTCAAAATGTTTTCTGTTCGCAATTCTCGATGCTAAATTTTCCTTTCTAGCATCACAATGCACGATGGCGACTTTCCTTTAAGGTGAGCATCATTGTTTTTCTGATATTACTCGTTAGTCAGATTATGCTTTCATGTAGTGACGATCAAATGTACCTACTTGAACACTTATCTTTCCACTTTTTATTGCGTTGATAGTACGTCTAAAATACTGACTCTGAGGTTCTCCTATATTGTGTGAAGTGGTTACGGTTTGTCCAATCCAGGAAAAGTGAATCCTGGCAGACCTTGTTAGTTCAATAACAGGTTGTCATAGATTAGATTCGTGTGATACAATGAAACATTCGAGTGAGTAAACGGGATAATTTCTCTCTACCAACAAGTGTGAACGCATTATAAGTCGCAGTAGCTGCCGAAAGTGTTTTATGCGTTGAAGCGGAATCTGGTCTCGAATGTGTCTGATCGTATTATTTTGTTTAAGAGCATCAAAATAAAGGCTTCGGTGAGACAGTGTGTAAGACGTGTTGAAAATTCACAAAAATTCCATTTTGAACAAAAGCTTTTATAAATAGGCAGACCACGAGCTCTACTTTCAGAATATATATGATTTATCCCTTCACTCGTTCTATCTTCTATGAAAAAAGGCACTTTTCTAAAAGATAGCTAAAATTGGACCTTTGATCAGGTCCTAGATTTTTCAAGTACGTTAGAGAGTTAGAAAAAAGTTTCTGGATCAAAAAATTCGTCATTAACTAAAGTATATTGAACGTTATTCATATCTCGAAAAATCTCAGTTTCATTTTTTCACCTAATGTCCATGTGTATTGTCAATTATTTTATATTTATTCGATTTCTGATTAGCAGCTATAACTATACTCTCACTACTGGGTCCACTGTGAAATGGTCACATCACACGTGCGATACTTGAATATTGTTGACCCGATGACCGTGCATGGTAGTCTAGCTGAAGGCCTACCGGACTGCAGTATCAGCATCGATAGAACTTCGCCATCCAAAAGTCGTCCGTCAAAGGGTTAATAGTATTCATATCCAGAATCTTGATACGTCGATTCCTAGCGTGCTATCAGCATGGGACGGGGCGGTTCCAAAAATAAATCTCTTTCGACGACAAAAGTCTTTTCCAATAGTTTTGAAAACGTACTCACACTCAGCATACCAAATTATATATTTTGAGCACTTGTTAGCAAAACTATTAGAAAAAAGATGCATGACTTCCCTGCGATTCCCTTCAGGAAATCCCAAATGTTTGCGTTATACATCACTCAATACTGATTGATGGACGGATTCTAAGTATGACATTTCTTTTAAAAACTGTTGACTTTAGTATGAGAAAAGCTGATGTTAACGAAAATACATGATTTTTGAGAAAATTTGTTATGAGATTCAGAGATATTTGCGCATTTTCTCTATAGAGTGTAGACATGATAATGAAAGAATTTCTTCCGAGTTTTATCTGAGATATTTTTTCGTTAACGTATTACCCTAAGGATCTTGTGTTTTTTCACTATCACGTATAGTTTGACCAGTAAAGAAATGGGTGAGAAATTTTTTGTGCCTGGTTTTTTCATCGATTTGCGCCCGGTTCGTCTTTTGAATTTAAAATCTGATGATAATTCTCGTTAACGAACTGGTTCTTGGACTTGGAATTTTGGTGGCATATAATCAGTCAATCTCAGTTGTCTTGGACCACGTTGTCTTGATAGACTTCTTGGTCGTTGTCCACCATGTCGTTGACCAACACTACTACCACGCTGATCGTTTTGATCACGATTCGAATTGCTATATTGTCGACGATTGGGATTGTATCGTGGGCGATTGTCTTGACGATGATTATTACCATTGTATTGGTCACCCTTGTCGTTATTGTATTGACCACACTAATTATTATTGTTGTATTGGCGCTTATTGTATTGACACCCATTATAGTTGTTATTGTTCTATACTGTGCAGATTGAATCCGTCTCTGTGACTTACCTTCAATATTTCTGGCATCACTTCGTTAAACTCTGATTCTGATTTGATCACTCTCGACAATGTCGACAATCAACTACAACAGCAATGAAAATTACAACAATCAACAACAAAATCCAACCTATTACCCACCGCAGGGCAATAATAATGCCCACGGTGGTTATGGGAGCAACCCTCCTTATTATACGCGCAATTCCTATTATAGAAACAATAACAACTATAATCGGCGTCAGTACAATAAGCGCCAATACAACAATAATAATAATTGTGGTCAATACAATAACGACAAGGGTGACCAATACAATGGTAATAATCATCGTCAAGACAATCGCCCACG